AAAAAAAAAAAAAAAAAAAAAGGGAGAAGAAGAATGAATGAATGGACCAACGCGGTCCGAACCAATTCTAGATATTAATACGTACCATTTAATAAACGTGGGCGCTCGGACCAATCGGTTCAAATTAATGGAAAGCGCCCTAAATTAGTCCGAAAATTACTGTCACCCTTCACAGAAATAAAGTGAGTCGTGGTAGACGAAAAACAAGGTATACGAATCCAGAAATGAAATATGTACCGACTAGAAAATATTGATCTTAATTTGTACTTCATTATCTTTAGAATGCACTTGTCCAAAAGGAAACAAGAACGCCCAACCACCAGAGGTTTCACAGAAATGCGACCTCGAAGGAGAATGCTATTGTCCATACGAGGGCTATGTGAAAACTAACACTGGCTGCATTCCGGGAAGTAAGTCATTACACGTATACGTTGTTGTTAAATGACGTCACTTCCGGTCTGTGGAATTTTTATTAGCTGAATGGCAAGTTTGCAATACAGCATTATAGACTGGTAATGAGATTCATGAGATTTATTTAGCTGATTGATTCCAAGAAATGGAATACTCTCTGGCTGATTGCATATGACGGGCAGTGTTTGCCTGTCTTCATGAGATCCATTCATTCAGCTGATTGATTCCAAGAAATGAATTACTCTCAATAATTTACCCTTATTTTTTACTTCGCCAGGCAATTCTTTATTTGACTCTTTTTTTTCCATCTCATCTCAGGATCTTCCAATCCATGTGATTCAAACCCGTGTAAAAATGGTGGTGTGTGCAAATCCATGTCTGAAGGAACATTCTCATGTGAATGTACAAATGACTGGAAAGGTGTCACTTGTGAAGAACGTGAGTAATGGATAACCTGTTTTTAATTAAACGCACATGATGCTAAACCAATGATGGAATGGACCACGGGAGCCATGTTTATTCTCATGAGAATAAAAACCTTTGTTTCATTCGCATAAACTCATTCTCAAACTCTTGTATGCGAGACCACGCGTGGTAGAATCTATTGTTGCAACCAACAAGGCTGCCGCGTGAATAAGGCACATGATTTTACTTGGCCTGTGAAGCAAAGTTGTTTAATTAGTGACTAACAGTCCAAGTAAAATAAAAGAAAACGGTGGAATTAGTGTCTACTATTGTGTTTTATGCTTACTATATTTTTTATTTTCATTGGCCAAGTAAAATCATTCCAAGTGATAGCTAGTCAAAAACCGACGTGACGTGACGTGAAGTGACGTGACGCCATGTGAACGTGGCCGTGACGGTATCTTCGGGGTAAAAGATGAATTTATTTCCTTTTACCTTGAAGTTTCCTTGTGCTGTTTTTCAGTCACACAAATTCTTCTCTGAGACAAAAAATTAACCCACGACCTCTTGCATGCAATCTCAAATCAATCTTCGATGACACGAAGCTGCGCAAATGAAGCTGCGCAAATGAAGCTGCGCAATGCCGTACCCAGAGCATTCATTAGTAACTGCGCATGCTCGACGAAATAAATATCTATTTCGTCGAGCATGCGCAGTAAAAAATAAAGGCTCTGGGTACGATATTGGAAGCTTTGCACATGAAGCTGCGCAAACAAAGCTGCGCAAAGGAATCTGCGCAAATGAATCTGCGCAAATGAATCTGCGCACATGAAGCGCACGGTGCCGACTTACTTTTCCCATTGAATCCTTTTGAATTGTGTTTCCAACAGCTGTCTGTACTGATGACTATTGTCAGAACAACGGTATATGTGAAGCACGCAATCACAAACCATACTGCATCTGCCAAAATGGATATTATGGACCTCGCTGTGAACAAATGAACGGTAAGTATAAACTAAACGAACTGAACACGAGTATAGAAATTATTTATCATTTGTCTCTGGCTAATAGAAAAACAGAAAAGAATCAGATTCCCTGGTAGGAAATTTTATTTTCCGAGTTCCTTTTAGCTAGAGACAAATGATGAATAAATTTTTTACTGTACTTTCCCAGCTTATGAATAAAATCATTATATGATGAACACAAGTAATTTATTTAACTTACAAAATACAGTGCTTCTCAATCTAACGCGCGGAATCGCAATTTGCCATCGCGAAGAAAAGGGTTTTGGGGACGTCAATGATGTTGCCATGACATTTAATTGTCGGAAGTAATAACATTTTCAAGGGCCTGGGGGCTTCACGCTCCGTTTGCAACGAATATAATATACAGAATTGTCTCATTTTGACACCTTAATTTTACTCTCCAGAAACCAAACCCATCGATCACTGCCATCCTAATCCATGTCTGAATGGTGGCACTTGCACTTCTGTGTTGAACAGTTATGATTGTCGGTGTGACGTGCAGTACACCGGCGCGCACTGTGAAGGTAATGCTTGTTTACCATTTTTAGTTATACCGAGAGATGTGCGCTGCTAATGCGCTGCCTCGCACCACTGTGATCAGCGGTGTGATCCCAAAAACTCGACATCATATTCGAGTAGAGTTGCTTTTTGGTTCTCCTGTATTGCTCGGGTTCTCCTGTATTGCTTCCTTTGGAAAACTAGTTTTTCTTTCGGGTAGCAATATCCTCAACGCCTGACATCCCACAAGAGATCTATTAGCTACTAAAACAAAGAAATTACGTTAAAGCAGCTCAATTTGGAGGACACAACAAAAGATTCAATCTCATGAGACTTAGAACCTATTGTGTACTCCAAATTGGGCCGCATTCTGACGTTCTGCCAGGGATCTATAGTTAAAAAGGCAGAGCTCTTCGCTCTTCAGGTTCAAACGTAACTCTTTTGTTTCTGTTTTGCCCTTGGGAAGATAAAACAAAAGACTGCGCTCGTTTTTATTCACATACATTTTCATTTATAACCGCATCTTTATCAAAATATCACCAACAAATAATGTTTTCTTGAGAAAGAAATTCACTTATCTAAGGACCTGACTTTATCCTTTTAATAATAAAAGTGTTGAATGAATAAATATAATAAATATATGATAACGTACAGAAGAAGAAAAAACATTAAGAACACAATAACAAGCTACCTTCTAAACAGAATATTGCTTTGATTATTGTTTTGTTAGTCGATAAATGCTCCAAATGCGACGTTCACGCTGTCTGTATTCACGGGAGATGCAAATGTCGAATTGGTTACATTGGAACTGGATATGAGTGTGTTAAAGGTTTGTCTAGTAGTGATATAGTCATATCAATGGAATGTTCAAACTAACGGTTGTAAATCCATTATATTTGTTAAAGCATATTGTATGATGAAACTCCGTGTAGAAATAAAGATGATGATGATGATGATGATGATGATTATTATTATCATTATTATATATTCCTGTATCGATGTTCAAGCTAACAGCTGTAAATCCATTTTAGTTAGTGGAGAAAGAGGCACTCTTTTGAAATGTTACAGCAAAATTCAATTTGCATTTAGAGTTTATCCAAATTTTTCTTCTTACGCAAAACCTAACAAGCTAAGATTTAATTCAATCTTTGAGTTAGCCTTGCCCTGACTATGGTATCGATAAAATCCGTTTTATTCGACCTTTTTATTTGTACTTTTTACACATACGTTTAAAGAGTGTGGAAGCCGACGTTTTATGATATTTTCATATCATAGATATTACTAATTAAGTTACCTGTTTCATGATTGTCGTTTCCATTTGTATAGTAGATCGTTATCTTGAAATTGCAAGTCTTAATCTCGATATGTCCTGTCATTCTAATTGCAGTACGCCATTCTCATTGTCCAGTTACTTGTCCAACCTACTCAACCTGCACCCAAGGCTCCTGTCAGTGCATACCTGGACACGTCATGACCGCTGGCCAATGTACACGTAAGTCGTAGCTTCCACTGGAACACGACAAAAGTACTACAAAAATGAGCCTTAATTAAAACTTAAATTATGCAAATGAAATAACTAGATACTTTTCAATATGATTTCCATATTTAGCTAAAAAATATTGTTCATTTATTTATTCATTTATTCATTTATTTGTTTATTAATTTATTCATGCCTTCGGCGTTCGTTCGTTTGTTTGTTCCTTCCTTCCCTCCTTCATTTATTCATTCATTCATGACCCTTTTACCAATAGCTCCGCAACCTCAATGTCCAACTCCGTGTCCTGCGTATTCAACGTGCACTCAAGGAGCTTGCCACTGTAATCCTGGATATACCATGACCGGTGATCACTGCACACGTAAGTACATTATTAGTCGCAAATTAACCCTTGGACTAAATACACAGGCATGAAGAGTGACGAAATGCTTTGTTAGGTAATTTGAATCTTTGTTCAATAGCTGCAAAACTGCAATGTGCATAATGTATTAGCTCCATTAACTGTTTACCCATAACACCCCCTAGGTCTTAACTTCTATTATATAACCTCTTTGAATCCCACACCGATTTTTAAAATTGACGTATTCAGAAGCAGATGCAAGGGGTGCTTCCGTGGGCTCCATGGAACCACTTTTTGTGAGATCTTGTGGAGGCAATCGTGTTCTTTACTCTCAAAAGAATGAAATTGGAAGCCCCCTTTGTGAAGCCAATCTTACCATTTCTGCGGTCATTTTGGAACCCCAATTTTGAAATTCCTGGATCCTACACTGATATTTATTTATGAACTTATTACCATGACTTGTTGGCAATACTAATGAATAATTTTCTTTCTTCTTACTAATGTAGTGCATGACGAACAACTACAGCCACCACCACGACCACTGAATAGAGAGACAGTGCATGCCTCGTATAACGCTTACCCATCTTTCTATAACAAGCTGATTCAACCTAATCCTCTAAGTTATACTTATTACAAACGTGACCACATCGATGACGTACATGATGACGTGCACACGGACACTAAAGATAACCATTAACTAACATTAATTAATGATTAATAATGTCAGAACGATTTAAAAGAAGGTTATTTCCAGTAGGAAAATGTAATATCGTAATTACTAAGTAATATTTCGAGTAGAATTCATTGTAAAATGCCTTCATCCGTACACAAGCAGTCTTAATAGACTAAATCACTGACTTTTCTTTATTCAAATTGTTCCTTCCGTAACTGAGTCAAATGAATGTTGAATTGTCCCCTTCACAGTTCCCAGCGACATCTTGAAAGGTAGCCCTGCCTTTGCATCGAATCGAGACGAACGGTGAGCTTAGCTGGCAATGCATGATAGCGACATTTTTCTAAACACCTTGGACGATTATTTACATTTGGCTTTATGTCTCTATAGACCGTTTTCTCAAAAAACTGAAAAACGCAAAGTCAGTAAAATTGAGAAGCCAGTTTTATATTTAAAGAGGGGAATAATAAATTTTATGAATTCTTATCGAAAAAAAATTCATAGAAATGTATGATAATACTCATTATAAAGCTCGTGTTCTGGTATCGTGGTCCGTCAAGTTCCTTAAATTTGGATACGCACGCAACCTTGAGGAAATAGTCTATTGCATTGGAAGCTCACCGTTCGTCTCTCTTCGATGCAAAGGCATGGCTACCTTTCAAGATGGCGCAGGGAACTGTGAAGGGGACTATTATACTGAACGTTTTGAAATTAAGTTTCGAAGCTGTTTTGATCAATCATTTCACAGTTCAGTTTCATATCCTGTAGCAAAACGGTTGACAGGGTTGGAGAAATTTTGATGTTTTTCAATTGACCATTATAAGCTATTTAGATTTAGTATTTACTTAATGCTTCGATTCGATAGTTCATCACACATCACTTTCAAAGTTGCTGTAGGAAAGATTGATTATATATAAGATTAGAAGTTTCTTTATTGGAAATTAATAATATAATAATAAAAAAATTAATAGATAAAATAATGAAGGTAATACATTTTTAAGTAAATGACTAATGTATAATTTATAATTTACAGGGAAAGAAACGCTCACACGTTTATGGCATTGATCAAATCATTCTTGTCTTTTACACCCAATTCGTAAATTTCTGCTCCATACATATCAAAATCCATAGAATAAATAGCTCCAATAGCAACGTTTTTGCCGCCTGTATCCGCCAAACAAACGTTGGATTTCAAAAGAACTACTAAAAAAAGCGGAAGTAACATTCCAAAGAGAATGAATTAAGCTAAAAGCAATATCCATCATTTTTGGTCATCACCAACGTATCACCAAGTGATCTCGTCCAAAACGTCTGGTACTAAATCAAATTTTGACTCTGTTATCTGGTACCTTGTATATCGATATTCATTAGGTTCTTCCCTTATGAGGGTTCCTTCCACATGTATATGAGTTCAATGTAGAATATTGGACGTTTCCCCCCCGAATATTTAGGATATATAAGGAGAGAAATATTCATAGGAGAGAAACCAGGAAAATAAAAATAATCTGACTTTCCTTAAAAGTCCAAAAACTCAAACCTACAATACGACCATTTGTGGAAAAACGTGAAAATTTGATGAAGAGCATAAAATGCCCTGATTTAATGCTTGAACAATATAATCCTTCAGGTATTAGCGTTTACGCCTTGACGGACGGAGAAGGAGAAGAAGAGGAAGAAGAAGAAGAAGAAGAAGAATCACCCACACCGACATTACCTCCGACAGATCATCTACCTTCTACCCCCAGAGTCACGGGATTTCCAACCAATTCACCTCCATTTGCCACCAGTATTACACCCTCTAACAGACCACTTCCACCTACCCAACCAACTGAAACCCCTCCTGCACCGGTCCCAGCACCCGAGCCAGTTCCGGAGCCCACCCCTCAGCCAGTCCCGGCGCCCGAGCCAGTTCCCGTACCCTCTCCTGAGCCAGTCCCGGCACCTGAGCCAGTTCCCGTGCCTTCCCCTGAGCCAGTCCCAGCGCCCGTACCAGTTCCCGTACCCTCTCCGGAACCAGTCCCGGCACCTGGGCCAGTTCCCGTACCCTCCCCTGTGCCCGTCCCGACACCCGAGCCAGTTCCCGTACCCTCCCCTGTGCCTGTCCCGGCACCCGAGTCAGTTTCCGTACCCTCGTCGGCCGCTAAAGACAAATTTCCGAGCGCACCTCCTCCAATAAACCCGAAGGACTTAGCTGATGCTGAATACAATGACGCAGAAGGCGATAACATTGTTCATCTACCAAGACCAGGCATTTATAGGCCTTATTCCAAAGGTGCAGCACAATTAAGGGCTCAAAACTTGGCAGCAATCAAATATCGTAATGCAAGAGTCAACAGCCTCAAGTATCCCCCTAAACCATCTTACTACAAGCCTCGTTCTATGCCAAGTACTGCATACCATGATCCAAGGGCTCAGAATACGCACGACCCCCTTAAACCAGCTTATTATAGCAAATACTATAACAAACCTGCTACTGCTACAGCACCAGGACAGGATTCTTTCGGTTATTATAACAACAGAGTTCCTATCGTCTATAACTACCCGCCTGTATATTTAGGAGCCTACCCTCAACCCCCACCCCCTACGTATTACCGCTATGAGAGATACGGGCGTGGCTGAGTAACACACACTAACGGGTATGAAGCGGTGGGGGGCGGGGCAGGACTCTTAATGTACACTGCCATTTGAGAGAGAGCTATATTATAAAGAACGATGTGACCATAAATATATAGTTTATATTTTCGCAGCGGGGACAATAATATGAATAGTTTTGTCCTCGCTTCGAGTTCAAATTCCTGCGACTTGACCCTGCTAACAAGGGCGGATCCAGCCAAAATTTTCGGGGGAGGACTAATTGAGTTTCTTCCGTCAACACTACGGAAAACGATAAAAAAGCATCTAATTCTTCAGTTTTGTTTTGTTTTTTGTTTTTGTTTCTGCTGAAGGGGGGCTTCAGCCCTCCTTTGCCCCCCTGGATCCGCCCTTGGCTAGCTTTATGTCCCCTAGAGTGTGGTGAGCTTAAAGCTCCCGGAAAAAGACCAACTAACTAACCTGGTTGTAGCTCAAAGAATTAATTAAAAGTGAAGTTTTAAAAAAACTCAACCTAAAAGCTATAGGAATGGCACTGAAAAATGGCTGTTGCATTTAGTTTTTAGGCACTAGGAGAGAATTTCAAAAATGATAAATGAGAATAGAATAAATAAGAAAATAAAGACCGTAGATATATTAGGTATATTAGCAAGTATATATATAAATCAAAAATGTATATTTTTTAGAAATAAAATCCATTTTTTTGGATTTAGTGTCAATATTATTTAGCACGTATTCTATACTCATAGAAGGATGATATTTTGCCAATCATCTTAAGGTGGTAAATTATAAACTTGTCGGGGTGGATTGCAGTGGTTTTACTTAAAGTGAAGGCATTAAAAACTAAATAAAAAATACTAGTCAACGTTTAATAGTCAAATAGACACAAAAGAAAACAATGGAATTAGGGTCTACTAAAGTGTATTAGTCTAATATTTATTTCATAGGCTTAATTTGACTTAGTTCACTCTATTTTGAGGTGGTGACATGTTTTTCGCTTGTATTTTTTAAAAATCAAACAAACACATTTCAGTCTGCCCCGCCTCTTACTAGTGGTCATGAAGTCAGTCATGAAGTCCGGCACGCGAGATAACTGATTGTTTGCTTAAGTTCTCCTTTCTTCGATGGGATTTTCTTTTTTTTTGTGCGTGCTAGAACCGGTGCTAAAAACAGAGACCATAATCTGTTTAACCGTAGCTATGCAAAAATTGCTTATTTTTTGTTTTAAAGTACTTGCTTTTCTTAAAGAAGCCCACGATCCCCACGGCAGTACGTCACCATCATGATTTGCATCATCATCCCATCACTATCTTGTTTCCCACCACTATCTTCAGCATCATCATCTCCAACACCACCACAATCACCATCACTATCTTCATCATTATCATAACCATCACTGTCATCACCTTCATTACCGGGAACCACCATCATCATCACCATCTTCATCATCATCTCCACCACCACTATCTTCATCATTAACATCTCCATCACTGTTATCATCATCATCATCAGGACCACCACTATCATCATCATCATCATCACTATCTTCATCATTAACATCTCCATCACTGTTATCATCATCATCATCAGGACCACCACTATCATCATCATCATCATCACTATCTTCATCATTAACATCTCCATCACTGTTATCATCATCATCATCAGGACCACCACTATCATCATCATCATCATCACTATCTTCATCATTAACATCTCCATCACTGTTATCATCATCATCATCAGGACCACCACTATCATCATCATCATCACTATCTTCATCATTAACATATCCATCACAGATATCATCATCATATCATCATCACCATCATCATCATCACCACCATCACCATCATCAGCATCATCAGCACCATGATGGACAATATCACCATAATCATCTTTGTCATATCAGTGCCGGAGCATGCAATAATTTAATAAGCAATTCACACCTTCATTTTGTTATAATTTAATAAACTATGTTCATAAATGATACACTATAATCTTATAAAATTATTTTGATTCAATCAAAGTTAGGAATTTAAAGCTAAACGTTTTGAAAATGCTGCAAAATATCAACAAAATTCATTTAAGTAAAATAAATTTACCAAACTAAATGGGCACACAACTATAATATTAGGACAAATAAATAAATAATAAAACATTAATTAAATAAATACTGCTCTAACTTTATCATTTAACTAGTAAAAAGTCTTCAGCAGAAATCTTGTAGACATTAATTCTATTGCTTCACAGGTTAAACAAAATCATCCTTTACATAATGCTGGCATCTGTATATACTGTACTTAACAAATTGAAGATAGACTCCTAGTTTCATTCTTGTTGAGTTCCTTCATTAGATCTGTAATGAGTACTCAATTATTACATATTTTGGTTTTAGATCATATTATATGGCAAATTTTCCCACTACATTTGATTGTTTTTAAATTAACCGAACAAAGAGTAAAATACATGCTAGTAATACAATGGATTCAAGGGAGTTACCATGATTTTTTAGAATACACTCGGACCTTTTCACACAAGAATTTTGTGCATTTGTTCAGAAAATAAGAATGACAAGAGGAATATTGCATGTTGTGCCATCAGAGAAAGCATTGTATTTCATCCTACTGTATTACAAAAAAAAAAAAGGATACCACAAAAAAAAAAACAACAAATCATTGAAGGAATCATTGAAAATATCTGAATATGCAACAACAGCTTTTCCTGCATTCTGACTGGCCGTATACATTTTTTAGTGATGTGTGAGAAAGAGAGCTTATAAAGGATAATTCCTTTATTTTCTTCTGTTGTATTTTTGATAGTTTTGTCACTGATCACTGACCTCAGTTTCATACTTGCAAGTCAAACCACTGAAACAACTATTGTATATACTCAAGCTTATAAAGAAAAAACACCCAAGTCTCTTTTAAAGTCTAATATGCAATGACAGGTACTATTTATAGTCTCCTATGCAGCTGCTATTAGTGTCATCACTCAACACTCACTCCCCTAATTAGCTACTTAGTGATGACACTTATAGCTGCTGTGTAGCAGACTACACTATTTATCATAATTTATTCTTTTTTATCTGACTATTACATTGAGTGGTTCCACAACAGCCTTATGTTGCGGGGAAAAACTTATAGTTTTACATGTACAATAAAATTATGAATCTATTCATGGGCTAGGAAAAGCTTTAGAAATTAAATATCATTTGTCTCTAGCTGAAAGGAGCTCAGAAAAAAGTCCCTGATAGGAATTAAACCCACAACCTTCCAGATACCAGTCAGATGCTTTACCACTGAGCTACAGGAAAGACTTATGATAAGCGGTCTGCATTTACTGGGTTTATTAAATAAGAAGAAAATATTCTTCTTTGAAAATGAAATCTATTGTAATGATAAAATATTTGGATTTTTTCCTGTCCAATGACTTAACGGCTGCTGTGAAACCACAATAATAATAAGATTTATGACAATTATATAATACCTAACTGAATATTATCTAGTAAATATCTTATATTTTCAGTTACACCCTTGGGAAATTTTTGTATACTTAACATGTAATTAATCACTACTTAACACATGTAATTGAGAACTACTTAACACATGTAATTGAGAACTACTTAATATGTATTTAATTTGTATTTTTGCTTTACATTTAATCACTGCTTTATCC